CACTTGCCTTCTGCCTTCCTAGAGTCTACCCAGCTGTCTAGCCCGCCACTGCCTTTCTTAGTGTCCAGCTCAATGCTGTGTCATTCATAAACATACAGGGAGCGTGCACCTCTTTTCTGTCCTTGCAGCTGGGAGGGACACCAGCATGGAGTCCAGGCTGCCCCCGGAACTTATTTCCCTCCTCTCAGCATCCTCGTACTTGAATAAGTATGGTGGATGGGGCTAGGGAGATGGCTCAGCAATTAAGAGCACTGACTACTCTTCCAGAGAACCTGGGTTCAAATCCCAGTGCCCACATGGTGTACTGTAACTCCAGTTCTAAGGGATCCAGTGCCTTCTGGTCTCCATGGGTACCAGGAATGCAAGTGGTGCACAAACATACATGTTGGCAGACACCTGTGTGTCTCCTCATTTCCTTTATGAAAAACAGCACCGCACCCAGGTCTTCTTAAGTTCAGCGTTCAAGGATGTCGCTAAGTGCTTTTCCATCTGACTCCCATTGTCTGCCATTCACCTTGTGGCTTAAATCAGGAATGCAGGCGTGATGGTAACTGATGACTCACGTCTTAGCACGCCCCAGGGCAGGTGGAAAGGCTCGAGAAGTCAGCCGAAGCCACCAGTCTCTGTGCCAGTATCCCGGCTTGTCCACATCCCTGACGATAAACGCCGACTTAACCCCAGGTGCTGAGTTACCCTTTTTTGCAGATGGCAACAGAGTCCCTGGAAATCCTGGGTTCCCCTCAGGTTGTACAGGGATCAGTGATGGGTAATTGAGGAAAATCTACTCAGGGCTTCCAACAGGACTGGGATGTTTGTAGCATAGAGCCAGGCATTCCTCACCGGCCTGCGTAAGTCCTCATCAAGAGCAGAAAGGGGCCGTCAGCAGGGTGGCATCCTGGAATATCCTTAGAAGAACAGCAAACTACAGCGTGGCTGTTTTCAAAGAGACCTCTTGAGGTGATGGTTTGAAAGTGTTTCAGCACAAACCTTGTTAAGGCAGAGGGCAGACTATGCCACGCCCTTGTCACCATACGGTCCGGTCCGTGATGTGATGCTGCCTTCGCGTCCCATTTTACAGATGAGAAACGTGTAGCTGGGAGAAGAGGAGCCAGCTGCCGCTGGCTGGCGGGGCTGGGTGAAAACGCCTGTTATCCTTCTTACTTATTCTTGCTTGACACGTGTGTTCACCCCTGCCCCCTATCCCGGGGGACGAAGGCCTGACTCAGTGAGTGGCTCCTTTATTTCAGACCTAACTTCTGGTGAAGAGAGTAATAGGATCTCAAGCTGCTCCTGCCGGCATCAAGGCAAACTGGCTAGACGCAACCTTCCACTATCACCATCACCCCCCTCTCTACACCCTGTGTATCATTGGCCAGACCCTGAACATCATCAGCTACTTTTAAACTTGGGGGTTTTGGGGAGTCACAACATACTTTCCTTGTGCTTAAAATTCTGTCTGAGATGCTCGTCCCTGAGATGCTCGTCCCTGAGATGCTCGTCCCCGCGTTCACCTGTGCCTGGGGCGCCTCCATGACGAGCTGATTTGTTTTCTATTCTGGGAACAGGTGCAGTTGACTTTGGCACCGGCTGGTGAGGAGCAGTAGCCTGGCTGCTTCCAGTCATGTGGGAGAGGTGGGCAGCCGTGACCTGGAGAGTGGCCGTAGGGGACAGTAAGAGGCCTGAGGCTGTGGTACAGTCTGCCAGAAGTCTAGAAGATAGGTGATTTCACCTCCGTTTTCCCCTCGAGTCCACTTTCTTATTACTGTTTGCGGGGAGGGACATGTGCAAGCTTGCAACTCTAGACAAGCCTCTCCTCCCGGAACCTCAGTTTCCTTTTCTCAGCCAGGGACCAGTAACCGCATTGACTTCAGAAGGCTACTTCAAGACCTCAGTGAGATGCGCTCAGCCTAGCAGTGGGCCAAACAGATGTACAGTCAATGTGGGTAAGATAGAAGGCAAGCTCCTGCCTCTGGATCAGTGAGTGTGCTTCCTAGTATTGCCACTTACCAGCTGTGCGTCCTTAGGTAAAGGGCTTGTGCACTCTGTTTCAGCTTCTGCTGAAAATAGAGATGATAATCATAATATTCATTGCCTCCAGGGGTTCACATGAGTTGAGCCCCACCCAAAAGAGCTTAGGGTGAGTTGGACACATAATAATCCTTCAGGAAAAAGCAGCTACAAACATATCTTATACCTTACAATCCCTGCTAAAGTAACCAGTCATGTGCTGAAGGTAGAGGGATTAGAATAGAGGCTTGATTGACAGGCCAGGGCAACATGTGGACTGGCGCTGTAAGGGCCAAGGGGCAGGGAGGGTTGAAGGTGCTACTGTATAGGGGGTGGGAAGCTTATGAGGGACAGGTCAGATCAGGATGCATGGCCCGGGTGCCCTGGCTGGCCTCATTTTGTTTGAGGATCAAAAGATAAGGAGCAGGTCAAGCTACTGGTGCTGATTCTGGCCTCACCAGAGGATAGCAAGATGCATCCTTGGCCATAGCTTCTGACACTCATGCCAAGTCCCACTTGGCTTCTGATGGTGGCCCATTCAAACTACATCTCTAGCAGAAGTTCCCTTGGAACCGCAGCTGCCATTGTCCCCATCCCTCCTGATACCGTTCCCATACGGCTGGACACCTTTGTGTTTGTTACTAAGGATTTGACCATGCCTTAGGATGCTTTCAAAAGTCCTACCTATGCCATTACCAAAAGAACACTGAGCTGCAAGGCAAGCATCTAGGTCCCATGTCTGCCACATGAGGTGACTTGGGACCACTGTCCTCTTCATTCCCCACTGGGCTGTTTGAGCTGCCAGCCTCGTTCCCCTCCTTGGTTTCTCCGCCTTCCTGATCCTGGCCTGTTCTCCTTGCTTACAGTACTGCCCAGCCCTATGTGCTTATAACACTCCTACCCATCCTTCAGAATCCTGCTCAGATTTCTATCCTCAAAGCTTTCCAGCAACTGCTCATGCACTCAGGAGTTCTTTTACATATTAACACTTTTAAAATAATTCACTCACTGGCGCTGAAGAGATGGCTCAGAGGTTAAGAGCACTGTCTGCTCTTCCAAAGGACCAGGGTTCAATTCCCAGCCCCAAACATGGCAGCTCACAACCATCTGTAACTCCAGTTCCAGGGGGTCCAACATCCTCTTCTGGCCTCTGTGAACACAAGGCTTACAGATGATATGCAGATATACATTCAGGCAAAACAACCATGTATACAAAATTAAAAAAAACCAGCAACAAATCATTTATTTACTTAAAAATCCCAGATCATGAGAAAATCACAGACTACAAGCTCACCCCAGGGCTGGCTCTGGCCCTGGCTTAGTTGTCTCTGTACCCCCAGAGTTACCAGAGGACCTGGAAGAGATAAGTGTTAGTGTGAATACCCTCAGTGAGCCTGTATCAGTCAACTGTCCTGTATCCAGAGGTTGCTGTGGTTTGGTGTGATTTTTACTCTTGGGGGTTGGATAAGTGCACCACGGTGTGCATGCATGTGGAGGTCAGAGGGCAACTTTGAGGAGTGGGTTCCCTCCTCCCACCATGTTGAGTTGGGGTCTCTCATCTGTTTTCCGTCTCTACGTAGGATTGCTGGCCTTTCAGGTGCCTGCCGCTGCATCTAGCTTTTTAATTGACTTCTGAGGATCAATAGCACATCGTCAGCTTTCTGTGGCAAGCACTTTTACCCCCTGGTAGATTTTACTTTATGGATTTTTCTAGAACTTGAGCGTTGTAATGCCGGGCGGTAGTGGCACACGCCTTTAATCCCAGCAGTCGGGAGGCAGAGGCAGGCGGATCTCTGTGAGTTCGAGACCAGCCTGGTTTACAAGAGCTAGTTCCAGGACAGGCTCCAAAACCACAGAGAAACCCTGTATCGAAAAAACCAAAAAAAAAAAAAAAAGTCAGTCAACACCGACCTGGAGCCACGTGTTCACACTACACCACACCCCTGCAATTTGGTGGGCGGACAATCACTACTCTGAGAGCCGTGGTACCCTAAGGGGCCTCCAGCAACCAAGGTTAGGTACCTAACGATTATCCAATTACGGGTCACAGTTTAGGAGGTGGGAAGAACCCTTAAGCTAGGTCTTGCTTGCTGAGGAGGTTAAGGAAGAACACACCCTGGCTTTCTTTGCCCTCAACTAGTCTTAGCACCTTTAAAGCATCCACACAGAAAAGCCTGGGGCTGCTCATTTCTCATTCTGGGCCTCTGAGATGACCCAGACACCCTGAGTCCTCGAAGACAACTTTAGTTGAGACTGAATGTTCACAGGGTATGCTANAAAAAAAAAAAAAAAAAAAAGAAAGAAAGAAAGAAAGAAAGAAAGAAAGAAAGTATGTCCTCCCAGTGCCCACTGTAGACACTATAGGAAAGTGTGATGGTTTGAAAGAATTTCCAAAGCTGCTGGATCTAACCTGTTCGCTTGTTTGTTTTGAGCTAGGGTCTGGCTGTGTGGCCCAGGCTGGTCTTGAACTTCTGGACTTAAATGATCCTCCTGCCTCAGCCTCCTGAGTAATTGGGACAAATTATTCTGTTTCTAAAAGGATGCCACTTTTTTTTTTCAAAACAGGGTTTCTCTGTAGCTTTGGAGCCTATCCTGGAACTAGCTCTCGTAGACCAGGCTGGCCTCGAACTCACAGATGTGCCTGCCTCTGCCTCCTGAGTGCTGGGATTAAAGGCATGCGCCACCACCGCCCGGCAAAGGATGCCACTTTCAAACACTTTTGAGTCACGCACTCCACATCAGAGCTTATCCTTGCTAGAGATAAGTTTAATACCACTATTAATCTTTTAACACCACTATTCACTACTGATTATGCTAAATCTAGTCTGACCAGCCGTGTTCCCCTTTCCATAAACATTTTTGAGGGCCTCTTACTTCAAGCAAGGATGACTCGTGAGGAACAGGAGGCCCTGGACTAGTTCAGGGGCAGGGGTAGGCAGCGGGCCACCTGGGCGGGTTGAGCAGTGGGCACTCACACGTCACTGTCTTTGCAGCTGAGCCCCTGCAGCTGATGGACCTGTGTCGGAGATCCATCCGCTCAGCCCTGGGCAGACAGCGCCTGCGGGACATCGACTCCTTGCCCCTGCCTCAGTCGCTCAAAAACTATCTGCAGTACCAGTGAGCAGGACTGAAGGCCTGCCGTCGTCTGTGGTCACACGGCACCTAGCTCCGGAGCGCCAGGATTGTGTCACTGACTTGGAAAAGGAATGCCTGTTGCCACTGTGGCTGCCAGGGCCAAACTGCTGCCATCAACCAGGACCAGGAAGTCACCTAGTCAACCAGAGTGTAGAGACCATTTTCCTTCTCAAGAGAATGAATAAAACATTTGGCAGGAGACAGCGTCCTGTTCCCCACTGCAGACAGGCCCGGGAAAATTGGCTGGTGGAGAGAAAATAGCTTCTGAATAATGAATGACGGAACTTGATGGTCCCCTCCCTGCCTGCCCCTGGCCAGTAGGGAGATCATCCTTCCGTTTTAAGACTTAGAACCACTTTGAGAGACCAGTCGACGGGGAGCACTTCAGTGCGAAGAACCTGGACTTTCCTCTCTGAGCCGGCTTTCTCAGCCCGTCCGTCCCTCTTCCACCATGGATAGAGTCCTTTGGCTGTCCCCGCCCGCCTGTCTCTTCAGGGACAGTAGTCTGATGACTTCCCCCAGGGACAGAGCTTATTCTTGGGTATGATCGTTTAAAGTTTTGCATTTTGAAGAGGAGTGTATTGAAGATGGCTTTCTCCCAAAGGTGCTAAGGAGGATGGGAGGCCTCGGGACCCTGAGTCTGAGACACCATTAGTGTCCGGGACTCTGGCCACCATATTCAGGGTGAAGCCTGGCTGTCACAGAGCTTTCTTTGAGCAAATTATTTTTTCACTTTAGGAGACCTCCACAGTTTGTTTCTTGTTTCTCATATGTGTGTGACATGCTGTTTATTTATCAGGTGGGGCCCGTGGCGTGGCTTTAGGACTGGAAGGGTGGGGGTGACACACAGTCTCTGCAGGCCCTGAGACCTATCCTCTCACGGAATGTTGCTGCTGCTGCCTTTGCCTTTCAGCACCACCATTCAGCGTTTTTGGTGTGTTCCTGATAGTCTCCACCCAGACTTGTCTTTAACTGGAAATCGTCACAACGTGAGATACCAGAGCCAGACAGCGCAGCCTCCACTTGAATGTGAATGTGACCTTCAAGCAAGGAACATTTCTAATAAAGTTTGTCATTCTGTCCTTGAGCCAGGTGTCAAGTGCTCTTTCATGGGTGTGGGGACCGCACTATCGGCCTGGCCGATCTGTCCTCAGATCCACAGGCATCATATCTGGGAGGGCCTCTCCATCCAGCCTTCCCTCTGCTGTCCGCCGTCCCCCTTTGAGCCCCAGCTCTAGAGATGCTGCAGAGACCTGATCTGGAAGACGACGCTGTGCCCAGGTTCTTCAAAGACTGCCATACCCCCTGATGCTGAGGCTTAGATCTTCAGGGTGACTACGGCGAGCCAGGGTGAACCCAAAAAGACCTGGTACTGGGGCTGAACCCATGTGACACCCAGGAGCAGTGCAAATGGCTGCAGAGTGAATGAGGAAGAGGTGGGCTCGGCTCTCTGGGGCTGGTGGCTGATTGGCAGTTAGGGGCAGGAAGGGATCAAGGTCAGGACTAGTACAGGATTCATTCAGTAGCATTGGCCACCAATATGCCACACCACAGCAGACCCTGGGGCAGTGCCAGATGGATGTCTTTGTCCTCAGTGGAGACATTTACAGTTGTTGAGAAGCTTAAGGGGAGTGGAGGAGGAGACGTGAAAGAGTAGTCTCTTGTGTCCGAAGAGCCCATGTGAGACTCACAGTGGCTGTCCACCCCAAGACTGGAGATGAGGAGGAAGAGGCATCCCCAGACTGCAGGCCCTAGGCACCTGCCTGTCTGCTGTCAGCTGCCGCCTCCAAAGCTTTAGTCATTGTGGTTGCTAAAGGCAACTTCCTGCAGAAGCACAACCTCAGGCATAGGGTCAGGAAGCCCAGGCACCCTCATTTATACACAGTGACCTTGGGTGAGTCACTTCCTCCCCTGGACACAGTAGCTAGACCAAGTAGCCAGTGACTCAGGACCTCCCTCTCCTAGCCCCGAGGATCTGAGTCTCCGTACCATCTTCCAGTTTGGGTTCAACTACCTTGTCCTAGCTCCTAAGCCTCCTTGGTGTGGTTTCTCTCGTCCCCACAATGCCATTCCCATCCTTACTCACCCTCTCACGGGCGAATGAGACCAGCCTTTCTCTCACTACCTCTTCATGTCTCTTCCCAGGCGTGTATTTCCTGACACCAAGGATCCTATCCTGAGTACCTGGTTTGGGTCCCCTCTGTCCTGTAGCCTCATATACCCAGTAGGCTGTGGATCTCTGGAGGGTAGGGCCTGTGCCTGTACTCACCACCCCATTGGAGATCACACACAGCTCTGCAAAGGCCTGAAGGGGAGCAGGTTGGGCAAAGTGACCTCTGCACACTAGGACACCCGTAGACACTGCAAGGGACGTCCTGAAGTGGAGAAGAGGTCCTCCCCGAGATGAAAACTGCACCCCAAGGGCCACCTGGACCGCTTTCCCTCTTGTACCCATTGCCTACAGCACTACCCTGAAGTGAGAGCAAGGCCACTCCTGCCAGACCTCACAGTTAAGGTGGGGTGGAGGGTTACAGACGACCACCCAGCAAAGAAGCACTGTGGTGTTTGAAGCTGGAGATAAGGCGAGGTGGGGGCTAGGAGTCAGGCCACAGAAAGTCACTGGGGAGGTACTGAGTCCTGACCAGGAGTTAGATGTGAGAGGAGACAGAACATTCATACATATTTGGGTTTTGGTTTTTGACTGCAGCAGCAACGGAAGCAACCATATCCAGGTATCCTTCCATACCTCACAATCATTGTCTGTGAACCATCCCGCCTCTGTGTCCTGGGCTTCTACTCCTGCCACGGGGTTCTGCACATCTCCATACCCATGATGGACCAAATGGGGGAGGCTTGTGTTGTACCCGACTCCTGCCCAAAGGCTACCCTCTGGCCTGCTGTGCAGTGGCTGGAGGCAGCTCCCTGGCTCTGTCTAACAAGCTCCAGGACGGCACTGTGACCCTTGCCTTTCCATCATAGCTGCTAACAGACCCCAGGCTACATCAACAACCGCAACCCCCGGTGCATTTTCTTAGGGGAATGGGAAGAAGGGTACAGCACACACTGTGAGGGGTAGCTCTCCACCCTGAGATACACTGCTCTGGCCTTCCTGTCCTCTGTGAACTGTTGCTCAGACTCTCAACTTACAAGGAATGTCCTGAACATACTCATCTACAAAATTCATGTTCTAGAATCACACAGTCGGGCTTTGTTAATTGCAAAAACATAATGTTTAAGTAAGTTTACACTTTTGTGTTGGGATGCATGCATAGCTGTCCTGGGCCTCGTGCAGCATACAGTCTGCAGGTTGGACGTGCCTGGGCCTCATGCAGTGTACAGTCTGCAGGTTGGACGTGCCTGGGCATCTGGAGCTTCACTGACACAGCATTTGACTGTCCGTTAACATTTACCCTAAGGACTCTGGCTCCGTATGAATCTTGCCACACTTGCCTTCAAGTGACAGACCCCTTTCCAATTTGTTCTTCTCTCTCTAGTCCTTTACAATCACAATCCATATGCCAGTCTAAGATACTCAGATCTGTCATAGTCTCTCCTACCTTGTAAAGATTATGCCCCATCATAGAGCACGGCAAAGGCATTAAAACGCTGCCGTGGTCTGAAGGAGAATGGCCCCTATAGTTGCACACATCTGAATACTCGGTTCCCAGTTGGTGGAACGGTTTGAGGAGGATTAGGAGGTGTGGCCTTATTGGAGGAGCTGTGTCAGTGGGGGGAGGGGCTCTGCGGTTTCAAAAGCCCATGCTTTCCCAGTAAGTTCTCTCGGCCTAGTGCCTGTGGATCAGGTGTGAGCCCTCCACTACTGTTAGAGCACTGTGCCTGTTTGCTGCCATGCTCCCCAGGATGGTGATAATGGCTTTACTGCCTGAAACCGCAAGCCCCCATTAAATGCTCTCTTCTTTACGTTGTCTTCATCATGGTGTTGTGCCATGGCAATAGAAAAGCAACTAAGACAAACCGGTTGCATGCTAGTCCTGAGGCCCCTGCTAAATCAACTGGCTCTTAACTCTCCTGTGAATACATACTTGTCTGGCATCAAATATATCATCTTTCGTGCTCAGTCACCTCACAAATGCCTGTCATTCCTTTCTTCCCTTCCAGCCCATGACGTGCACACTGACGGACAGTTGCTGAATGTGTCTCATTGTGAATAGTGTCTCATACAAACCATTGCTCCGGGGACTGATTTCCCTTGGATTGCTGCAGATTATGCCTGGGGAGACGTTTTATTGGTTTCTCTGCTTCCACAACACTCCAGCTGATAACATCTGCCCTCCCATCCCCTCCCTCTTTCCCTCCCTCCCTCCCTCCCCACTGTCTGAATACTCTCTCTGGTTCCGAAATCCCAGAAGACCTCTTTAGCACACATCTGACCCGTTCCTGCCGTCCTTCCCATCCTGCCAACTGCATACAATGCCAGAACGAAACCTGTGTCTCAGCCTTGCAGTTACCCCTTTTCTTGACAGATCCGAGGCCGATGTGGAGGCCAGCGCTTGCAGGTCCTTTTCACCATGGCACAGGCGAGCTCTTTATGAGCAGACAGCTGGGCTTCAGCTGCATCTCTTTTTGCACATAGCAAAAGCCACCCAACAGTTGTGGTAGCTTGCTTATGAACCTGCTCCATGAGTATTTTTTTAGGGATTGCAAAGTATTAACTGGACCATTAACCTTGCTCACGAGGCAGACCTTAGGGATCAGTGAGGCATGCTACCCATTCTGCACACAGGAAAGGTGCCTACTCCAGAACCTAACCCCAGGACACTCCACTCAGATGACTTAGCTTTTATAACATGCTTTTTCATGCACCACAGCAATGTGACCACCATAACAGCAAGAAGCTCGCCATCCAGTACCACAGGGGATGCTCCGTTCTAGGTTGCTTCACTGTTGCGCTGATGAAACACACTGACCGAAGCACCTTGGGAGAGAAAAGGGCATAGGTGTCTTATGCATCACAGTTCGTTACTGAGGGAAGTCAAGGCAGGAACTCAAGCAGGAACTGAAGCAGAGACCATAGTGACATTATGCTCACTGGTTCGTTCACTGGCTTCTGCTCAGCTAGTTTTCTTATGCCGCCCGGGCCCACCTCCATGGTAGGGGTACTGCCCAGAGTGGGCGAGGCCCACTACATCAATTGGCAATCAAGACAATGCCCCGGACACGTGACCACGGGCCAATCTGATGAAGGCAGTTCTGTTGAGGTTCCCTCTTCCACATGACTTTAGGTTGCATCGAGCTGAGGTTAAAATCTAACCAAGAGCCCCAAAGACGCTGCACTTCACACAGATCAACCTCTGTTGCCCATCTCATTTTTCACTACAGAGTCAGAGAGCTGCTCACCGTCCATTCATCTTTGGTCCTGCTGGTCTCTGTTCAGGCGCCAGTTGTGTGGTGTTACTCTGCTTGGGGAGACGTGAACAAATATCTACTCAGTCTGCATGGGGTACTGATGATAGACCAGAGAAATGATTCCACCCCAGTCTAGCTTGGTGAACCAGTGAGCTTATTGGCATTATTGAGAAGGTAATAGGTGAATGGTTACTTACAAGAGCATGGGGGTCTTTTTTTTAAAAAAAAAATATTTATTATGTATATAATATTCTGTCTGTGTGTATGCCAGCAGACCAGAAGAGGGCACCAGACCCCATTACAGATGGTTGTGAGCCACCATGTGGTTGCTGGGAATTGAACTCAGGACCTTTGGAAGAGCAGGCAATGCTCTTAACCTCTGAGCCATCTCTCCAGCCCCGAGCATGGGGGTCTTGAAGGCAATTGTACCACTGAAAATTCTTCCCAGTGTGGGCAACAACTCATAAAAGCTGCATCCAAAGAACTCCTTGCACCCACGCACGTGCACGCGCGCACACACACACATATGCATACATACTTATGCATACACATACACACACACATAAATAAGTAAAATCTTTATAAAAGGCAAAATAATGATATACTGCACGTCTACCAGATTTAGCAAGCTTGCAGACTGTCCCATCTAAGAGCTACAGAATATATATTTTTTT